AGTCCGCTCGCATGGCCTTCATCAAAGTCCGATGGGCAGGGCCATTGGGGGGTTTAGGTGGGAGGGGGGGGGATTTTTTTTTTTTTTTCCGGTTTGAGTGTTCGAGCAAGTAGGGCAACGTGTCCGAGTCTCAACGCGCACAATCCGTTTTTTCTGAATTCAACGGGAGACCCCCGTTTTTGCGTTAAACGAGGTTCAACGGGGGTCCTCGGGCGCGTTAAACGGGTTGAACGGTGTTTAATTCCACCCATTCTTCGTTTAACGGACACACGGAATCCATCCCCGGGCTTCCACGGTCCCCCGAAACTCTAGATTTGTCAAGCTTGGCGTTAGCCGGGTTAGGGTGACCTTGGTCCATAATGTTTCTATCCAAAGGAAGGCGTCCCTTTCGCCCAACATCACAGTTTGATATGCAGGCTCTAAATCTATCCGGGTCCCTTCTTCCGGCAGAACGACAGATACCCCGTCCTTAACATCTATTGGCATTTCCGATCCGCTGGAATGGATTAGGGACGATAGTCATTTTGGTTCCAGCACTCGATCCCTGTTTTCCACAACCAAGCACCGACCCTGGTTCTCGGGTCCGATCAGCCTACATCCTGTTTTAAAACATTTCAGACCCCTCATCAAGGTCTACCCTAGCTTACCTCCCCACTATAAAATTCTAACCTCCCTCGGATATTCATAACCGGTCCCCTTTCACCCAAGCTCATTCTCTTGGTTACTTTCAAGGCTAGACTCTGTCGCTTTCTCTCAAGGTCTTCACTTACTCGTGCGGACTTAGGGAGGGGGGTGAGAATAGACTAGAATATTGACCCCTCCCAACAACTTATATCGCAATCAGCTTTACAAAGGGGGATACAAAATATAAGAAAAGAACTCAGGCAATCTCACATATAGGCGCGGTCATCTCCTCACCGGCCTCTTTTCCAAAGTGGTATCTCCACTGTTACTATCGGTAGAGTTTTATCTCATACGTTAAGCACAACTCAACCGTCGCAAGTGCGGTACCTCAACTCCCGAACAGGGTGTTACGCCTCTCTGTTTGCCCAGAATACCCCATCACGTCTTGTCGCTCGTGCACACCCCCGTTGGTACTGAGAATCACCCCGCGCACCCTGATAGGAGCAAAACTTAGTCGTTCCGACATTCACTTCCATTGGACCGATAAGAATCATCCTTTTCCATGTCGTAGTACGAGAGGCTACTAATCGTCTCGGAGGTTCTCTCCTTGCCCCACATGCAGTGGTCCTTCTCCGTCTGCCGACAAGTAGTTGCCTCGCATGAGGAGACGTTTCGCATCCCGCCTGGGTAAGGTGTTGAGCCATACTCGGTCCGCCCGGGAGGGAGTGCTACTAATCCGGCGAGACCAACTCCTGCATGACAGCCCGGTGGGCCAACCTCCCGCACATGAGACCCGACGACACTTCAATATAAACGATTTTTCGCAACCTGCCCCAGCTGGTTCAGACCCATAATTTCCTTCCGAAAGGCACGACGCTCAATTTCCCCTCATGCAGATCATAAATCCCAAGTGGGACACACATAATACAAGTGCCTTTCCCAAGGTGCATCCAGCGCATCCTACCCATACCTTACATTATCGCTTAGGACTGTGTGTGCCACTCCCCTTATTGTCCATACACCTAGGTTACCAGCCCAGACGTCCGAGACGCTTTTCTGTTCCGGATTGTCCGATCGGACAACTGCCCCGGTCGTCCGAGCGGGGCCCATTGTCCGGGCTGGTTAAAAACCGCCTTTGGGGTCCGATCAGGGTTTTGGGCCTATGGGGGTGCGGTTTGGGGAACGTAGTACCCTTGTTTATTTTGGGCGATTTTTGTGACGCCGGTAGGGCCTCCGAAAAAAAAAAAAAAATTGGCCCGGTCTGCGCTATCACATTTAAGAGATCTACGGCCCAGATCGGACCAAACTCGAATTTGAACTGCACCCCGGACCACTGTCTGCCCGTGCACGACTTAGGCACGTCGTGGGAGTTGGACGTTGCCGAAATCGTGCGCCAACAGCGACGACCCGACACGTGTTCCAACCCCAGTGTAGGTGCGTACCGTCGTCCCGATTGTGTGTGTGTGTGTGTGTGTGTGTGTGTGTGTGTGTGGCATACTGCGCATCCACACGAGCCTGCAAGGCCCGACCAAACAAGGAAAGTAAGGGCCTACAGGCCCTGTGTCATTTTCAGTCTGAAAGCCTCAAAACAAGGGCCCACAGACCCTGTGTCGTTTCAGCCTGAAAGCCTGAAAACGAGGGTCTGCAATCCCTGAAAACGAGGGCCATTTTCAGGCCCTCATAAAGTCGACCTGCCCTGAAACTTAGGCACCCAACTACGGTTTTTAACACAGGCCATTTTTGGCCTGTTTTCAAGACAACCTTTGTTTGAACTTCAACACCAGGGTCCGGCACGTTTTGGCATTGGCAAGAGCAGCCTCCTGGACGGGCCAGCACTATATAAGACTGGCACGAGGTAGTTCATAGGAACATCCCAGGCAATTCATGTGCAGGAGGCAGGAGGCAGTCTTCAGGATTCGGCAGCAACACTCTGGAGGAGCACTGCAGTAATAGTAGTAGCATTGACAGTTGTCTTCAGTGTTGGGCGCTATTAGGAGCTAGAGTAGTAGTGGAGAGAGAGAGATGGTTGGCGGGGGCTAGGGAGACTTCCTTGTGGCGCCATAGCTCCAGCTTCGTCTTCGATGTACCTGCAACAAGGCGCCACCTTCACAGGTTAGTACCGGACTGAGAGAGATGGAAAGAGTTTTTCTTCTTCCTCTTTTAAGTCCACCATCTCCTCCTCACCCGCTTGCTACCTGACTTCTCAGTATCTGCAGACTATGAGAGAGAGAGGTTGGTGACTTTGGGACTTGATGACATTTGGATCCAGACTCGACATTGGGATTCAGACACTTGACGAGGGATTATTTGGGACCTGTACCGAAGACTTGGTGTTGACGACATTCCCATCTTCCCCTCTTCTTCGTCTAACCCCCCTCTTCTCCATCTGTGTATGGTTGGGGACT